TGAATAGTTTCTTCAACCAATAATGATTCTGAACTTGAAAAATTTACAAATATTATACAAAGGAATAAGTATACAAACATTTTTTACCACTTAAACCTACCACTTTTTATGTACACACATATAAATGTAATTATTGAATTTCTTACGCTAATTACTTTGACTACTTATCCAAAAATAACCAGTTCTTTGAATTAACACGTTTTTTGTTTCTTCTGACGCTGAAAAAATCTCTAAAAACAGCGCATACTAACAATCGTTTTTAAATTCTCTTCTGCCGAAAAAACCTCAAAAAACGGCTTCTATCGCCCTTTTACATTCTTCTCACGCCGAAAAAGCCTAGAAAACGGCGGTGATCGGTTTATAAAAAAATGCGCATATATATTTACAATATAAACAGGAACATAAAAGAGCCAGCAGCCAACCACATTGAAACTTTTTGATGTAAGACCAATTTAACAGATTTTTTGAAAAGGCATCTGTACTTTGTACCTTTGTGGTGGAGCTGTATCTTTTATGGAGACTTCTGCAAAGCCAGAGAAGACGAAACGCTGTCCTGGAGCAAAAAGGTGGTTGAAAAAATAAAAATAAAAATGGTCTTTGTCTTGGGCTTTTTGTAATCACGTCGGGGTCACCAAATTGTGAAAGATCCCAGACGTAAGACAAAAGAGACTTCGACAAAACTGCAAAATAGAGTTTTTATTATCAGAAGGTTTGAGCGTATTCTGATCAAGTACAACGCAGCTTCCCGTCAGAAGTCTGTCTGCAGAAGTCTGCTGTACAGGCAAAGGGTGGCTGTTTATATACACTGTAAATGATTAGGTAAGCATTAGACTTTGGTAGCATGACTATGCAGAAGAAAGCGTATGGTTTCAATGTTCAACCATGGTATAACTATGTTTTCGTAATGGACCAAACTCCAATGTACATGAGATAGCACCATCCCATGCTCTGCACATGTTCAGTGTTTGTTCTGTACAAACACTTTATCTGCTTTATGCCTTTGTAAGCAGTTCAAAGTACAAGTGTTTCTTCTAAACTCTATTGAACTGCTTTAACATGATATTTTAGCAGCAAATAGTAATTAAATATTCACAAAATCAATGTTTTGAAAACAAAAGAGCTCATTGTGCACATTGATAAAGAGACATTGATAGAAGTGAAGATTCATGGTGCCAATGTTGAGATGGTCGATGACTTCAAATACCTTGGCACATACATACAGTAGATGGGAGACTTGCCTTTTCTACAAACACAGACTTCATTTATAAGAAATGATCACAGCGACTGTATCTGCTTCGCAAACTGAATAATTTTGATGTGAGTCGTTCTATCCTTGAGACGGTCTACAAGAGCCTGGTGGAGAGCATCCTCACCTTTAACATGCTGATGTGGTTTGGCAACCTCAGCATGAAGAACCAAAACAAACTCCAAAGGATCGTGAACCAGAGCTCGAAGATCATTGGGCAGCCACAAAGATCTCTCCAGTGTTTGTTCGAGGAGCGCTTGGGAAAGAAGGCTGAGCTCATCATTAAAGATGCTTCCCATCCGCTAAACCCAAAGTTTGAACTTCTGCCGTCAGGACGGAGATATCGAGTGATATCAGCTAAGAAAAACATTTTAAAAAACTCCTTTGTGCCCAGAGCAGTGAAAGCGGTAAACACTCTGAAGCTTTGAGCAGTCCTGAGGTTGACTCTTGTCTTTAGGCCGGAGGTGGCCTTGTTGGTTTGTTCTTCCAATTGTTCTGTGAATGTAGTGCCAATTGATATTGTGCTGGATGTGTGTCTTTTATGTATTTTAAGGTGATAACCAAAGGCAATTTTCCACCTTGGTGGACAATAAAGTTTTCTTATTATCTTATTCTTATTCTTATCCCACCCCGTACCCCGCCTCCTACACATCCAGTTCTCCATATGGATGTGCAGAGTGGCTTCATGAAGGAGATTCTTGTAAGCGTGAGACAATAATGAGAGGGTATGAGTCAGCGGGAGGATCTTGAGAATTTTTTCTTGATTGGCATGTCATGTTTTAGAGTGGGAAATAGGTTCTAGAATATAAGAAAAGATAATATGTGGATTATCATGATGATGGTTGTAAGAAAGGTAAATTTCTTTCTGCTCCGTCTAGATTTAGATCATTTTGTTGTGGTGTATGCATTTATTTTCAGTATATCCATTTTCAATATGTTTGGGATTTTTGTTGTTGCATAAATTCAGTGTAAAACGTTCAATTTTTCAGTAGAGCTAAAGAGTCTTGTTGTCCCCATTGCATCTACTGTATATGTAAGGCAGGCGTTAACGAACATATGGTGTCCTCCAAAGCCAATCCTAAACTTATCTAATGACATTACAATGACATTTCCTGTGACTTTCCCAGGGCTACGAAGCTTGCAGGTGTCGGTGCTCAGAACGACAGAGTCACAGATGGACAAATCCGCACCAGGACAGAGCACTTCCATCATCAGCGACACGTGATAATGACAACGCCACACTGTCAAAGAGATTTACTGAGGGGAACAGTCTGCCAACACCTGCTACGGAAGCCCAGCCACACAGACAAGGACTGCATACACGCTCACATTAGATAAGATTGTTGATTATTGATGTGTGTTTGCCTGAACTTCAGAAATCAGAAAATGCAGAGTGAATAGTGTCCGCATGATTTCAAACACAAGTAAATAGTCCGTGTTTATAGACACATTATTTGTCTTTTGCACAGGATTTTGAGTAAAAAAAAATGGAAATCTTGAGTTTGTCCATCCATCCAGTTTCTTCCCCTTAATCCATTTAAGTAAGTAAGTGAGTAAGTAAGCTTTATTTATATACCGCCTTTCACAGACCAGAGTCACAAAGCGGTTTACAATTGTTATTTTTTGGGCACTTGTCCTCTCACTCCACACAGAGATGGGAGCGGGGTCGCCGAACAGGAGGCGCATGCCAGACCTATTGTACATATTTTTAGTGGTAGGGGAAACCGGAGTACCCGGAGGAAACCTACGCAGGCACGGGGAGAACATGCAAACTCCACTCAGAAAGGCCCTGGTCCGGCCGGGATTCGAACTCAGGACCTTCTTGCTGAGAAAATAAATTTCCGGGTCAGGGGGGTGGCAGTCAAAGCCACACCCAGTACACAGACTACCAGCCCCTCACTGATCCTCCTGCAGGTGGTAAGTCCACAGGAGCTGAGATATTTTCAGTGGGGGCTTCAGGCAAAGCGGGGGTCTTGCCCAAGGACACATCGACAGCAGTCATCAGTGGGAGTCGTGAAGTAGGTCTTACGGTGGGCTCAGCTTTTACCAACTGAGCTATTGTCACCCCTGTCCAATGAGCTATTTTTGTTTGTGGATTTAAAATGGTTTATTGTGGTGTAGAATCCGTTTTCTCAATGAAGACCGAGGGCTGAGACATAACATGTGCGCCATCTTGCATAACATTGATTATAATTTGAAAATAGAAAACACATTTAATTGACAAGAAATGCCTTCGCACAACCCCTAACAATGACTTAAAAAAGTGTATCCATTATCATTCATTCATTCATTCTCATCCCTTTATTGTCCATTTCTGGGTCAGGGAATTCACATTGCACCAGTTCCTTGCTGATCCTTCTGCAGGTGGTGGGTCCACAGGAAGATGGCTGTTCCTTCATCACAGACATGGCCTTGATCTTTCAGCAGGGACTTCAGGCAAAGTGGGGTTAGGTGTCTTGCTCAGGGACACAACGACAGCAGTCATCAGTAGGAGCAGATGACATGGGTCATGGTGGGATCGAACCCACGACCATTATCATACATATTTGCTGAAATATGGTTAAAACAAAATTTCTTGCCAGGTGTGTAAACTTGAGGTCACGTTTGAGGGCCATATGTATCGTTTATGGTCCTCGTGTTTTTGAATTGATCCCAGTGTCAACTGTGTCCCAAACACGATTATTATATGGCAAGGGTCTCTAACCTGTAGCTCGGGAGCCACCAGTAGCTCTCCATCCCCTTCCAGGTAGCTCACCAAAGGATTTAGAAAGTAATAAAATCCAAAAATATACTTATTTCAGATATTTTTTATGATCATTGAATGCACTTTGTCATTAGTAACAAATATGTGAGGATGAATAATGACTGTTCCCAATACCAGGTTCGATCACACCGATATACCATGTAATTTTTTCCCAGGGCGGCTTAAAGGAGGAGCTGTCTGCCTTTATGGTCCCAGGAAAGTAGCTCTCTACCTTTATGGTCCCAGGAAAGTAGCTCTCTGCCTTTATGGTCCCGGGAAAGTAGCTCTCTGGGTGAAAAAGGTTGGAGACACCTGTTATATTGTATAATAGAATGGGCCCCCAGACCATAGTCAAGTAAAAGTGGGGTAACTTACTAGTGTGAGCCACAATATGACGGGTGCTAAACTTTGAGACATGTGAATACTAATGATGTGACAGAGGATAAGGATGATATTAAATACTGGTCTATATCTAATCTTCCTTTTTCAATTTGAAAATCTGCCCCCTCTGCTCTAAGATGACTACGCTTGCATTTTGCAGTTACCGCAATACAATCACATTATGCCTGTTTAAATCATCGCTTGGGAAAACCATCTATCTCATTCACGCCAAACCGATATCACTCACAACACCGTGCTTAACGTAATCTTTATGTGGATATAAAAGTCATCTGGAGCCGGATGCTTTTAGCGTTCTGCTACTCTAATGTTTACTGCTCACCGGAGCGCTCAGCCGTCACTCCAGATGAAAATGAAGACCACCGTTGTTGACGTACACAGCTGTTATTGCTTCAGGAGACACTTCCAAGGCCAAATATGAGAATGCTCCTATGGTGGCAGGTGGAAGCACGCTAAAAGACTACGTTCTGGGAGATTTGGCAGATGCAGCTTGCCTCCTGCCCCACAGCTTTGTTTCAGCCAGGAGAAATGGGGTGTGGAGAGGCGGCGAGGAATACATCTGGCTGGGAACGTGCAAAAAGAGCGGAGATTGAAGAGCAAACGTCAACTCACCTCCCACCACAGCCTCCAGGTATCCATCATCCATGTTGTACCCCGCTGCGGAGAAGCAAACGGAGCATTAGACGCGCGGGAATGGGATCGTATCGGTGATGTATGTATTTGTAAGTGGGGAAAAGACTGCAGGATGTGGACGTGATCTAAAACCAAAATGATCATGAAGAGGAGAAGTCTAAAGTCGTACTGCTACACCTAAAAACGTGTTGCTCTGCTCGCTTGTCAAATTTGACAGCATTTACTTAGGCCTTTTTAAACTAAAATAGTCATAATCCTTTCGTATAGTACACCTCTAAATATTATGTAGGCTATGTATCAATATAGATAGATTGATCCCCTGTAGGAGAAATGCAGGTGTCCAGTAGCAGCGGAAACAAATCCATCCGTACAAAAAAGAGAAAAAAAATACATTAGCTCTAAAAGTAGCTAGCAATAGAACAACAAAATGCAACAGGACTTTAGGTTACAGCAGCGGAGGTGGAACATTAGTAGGAAAGGTTTGTCCATGCTTGGCCTAGTATCTCAATGACACATGTTTTAGATTTTTTAAGGCAAGGCAAGGCAAGGCAAGTTTATTTGTATAGCACAATTCATACACAAGGCAACTCAAAGTGCTGAACAAGATAGCATTAAAATCATAAATAATTACAGAACATTAAAACGAAAGATAAAAATATAAAATCCCTCAGTTGTATGCACAGCTAAACAGCACCGTTTTTAACCTGGTTTTAAACATTGTCAGAGAGGAGGCCTGTCTCACATCTTCAGGAAGATTGTTCCAGATTTTAGCAGCATGAATCTGAAAAGCAGCCTCCCCATGTTTAGTTCTGACTCTGGGCACTAACAGGAGTCCAGTCCCTGTGCTCCTCAGAGTCCGGGCTGGTTCATATGGGACTAACATGTCACTAATATATTTTGGTGCGAGGCCATGGAGAGATTTGTACACAAGCAGAGCTGTTTTAAAGTCTATTCTCTGAGCCACAGGAAGCCAGTGCAGAGACCTGAGGACCGGACTAATATGGTCGTACTTCCTGGTTCTAGTCAGGACTCGAGCTGCTGCATTTTGAATGTACTGCAGCTGTTTTACAGCCTGTTTGGACAGACCTGTGAGCAGGCCAGTGCAGTAGTCTAACCTACTGGAGACAAATGCATGGATAAGAATCTCCAAGTCTGCTTTAGACACTATGTTTTTGATCCTGGCAATGTTTTTTAGATGGTAAAAAGCTGCTGATGTTACTGATTTGATGTGGCTATTAAAATTTAAGTCTGAGTCCAGTATTACCCCTAGAGCTACTGTTCTGTACTGTACTTATCATAGCGATTTGTTCATGCATTCTGAGTATATCCATGATAACATATATTGCGACAAATGACAGCCGACCAATTCCCATGTTTGAAATAGATGAACAGCAGTGAGTGATTAGCTTAATGTATGCCATCGAATATATTAAGCAAATAGTGGTGATGATGATTAACTGCATAAATACCAGTCATCGGCTTGACATGACTCAAACTCTGCCAGAGCTGATATTTATCCAATAATTACTTGTAAAGCATATTTTACGAAATGACACATCATATATAGATATAGTGCTGAGGACACAGAGAGTGCTTGATGTTGTGGTTTTGCCGTTCATTTTAAAGGTGAATAAATCTTGGTTTAAAACTATTACAGTTCTGCGTTGGTTTTCTCTGGGTGCTCCAGTTTCCCCTACCCCTAAAAACACGCACAATAGGTCTGAATGTATTGAATGAATGGACGATGTCGGTCGGAGGCTTTGATGCGCCAGTGTGTTCGGCCTCTCGCTGCCGTCATCACCATGTGTGGAGAGAATGGAAAAAACTGTATCTGAACTCTGAACATTGTAAAGTGCTTTGGTTACTTACTTACTTACTCCTCTTAACTCTTTAAAGTTTATCTTTGTCCTTAAACAGGCAAGGATCGCCAACGCTCTAAATCTATGGGGAAAGTACTTCATACTCCTGCATTTGAGCATGACATTTTCCCTTATTATGTAAATTAAACAACCAACACATAACTAGCAATTTCCTAATCTGTGACTTCCTGTTACTTACATGGCAATAAACATTATTCTGATTCTCTATACATTAAACCATTCTGTCGCATTGCCTATAAGCATTTCTTGACTCGTAAAGAAGATCGACCAGGGTATTGCCACCATAGGAAAACATGTTACATCTGCTTGCATGTCGCCCATAAAAAGTGAATGGTTTGATCAAATTAAGTCAACTCAACCCCTCCTCTCATCTGTTCACTCGTAAATGTTTAATCAGACTTTGCTGCGACCTGCTGTGCTCTGCCAGATCCCTGACACCAACACGCTTCATACACAAAGTCATTAAAGAGTTCTGAATTATTGCTCAGGAAATATCTGCTGGCTTCCATCAACTAAGATCCAGACGCCAGTCATCTTCAACTGAGTCCCAGGGAAAGAGATTTTCACCAATATTTCTGTCATCCTCCACTTCTAATGCATTGCCAGGATCCATGTGCCAAACTTGATGTCTTTTGTATGTAAAGTTTGAACAGTGTTTGTCAAATTAGCTCCCCTGTGGTGACCCGTGTAAGTGTTTGATCTGGGTTTGCTGCAGCCTGCTGTGCACTGCCAGATCTGTCACCAACACGTTTTATACACGGCATTAAAAAGTTATCTTGTATTGCTCTAGAGGAAAAACAACTGATCTTCTGTCAAACCAACAAACAGGAAAAAATTATGGTTCTATTTCATCCTTCCTGACCGCCAGAGGCGGTGCTTTAAGCACTGAATAATCATCTTTGAGCATGCGCAGTTCGAGAATTAAATGACAACAAAGTCACTTGTGACCTCCTCGTGACCCCCGTGAGTCTATATAGGTCACGTGACACGAGAGCCCAGTCTCTTTTCTTCTTCTCGCAGCGCAGGTTTGAGTTGTGCGTGTGTGTTTGAGCGTTTGTGCTACCTACCTACCACATACGTCCTGCTTGCACATCAGCTCCGTGACTCGCGTCGAGGCAGCGGGTGGATCTCGCCCCTCAGGGGCTGTGCAAGCTCCGCCGGCTCACCGGTGAGTTCTGTCCACGTGTGTGCGTGTGATTCTTAGTTTAAGCTTTCCGTTTTCGGAGTGAGCTGACGTTTGATGTCCACAGTTATACTGTTCGTTTTCTGTTCAGTTTGTGTTATGCTCTGTTTGGCCGGTGTTAATTGAGTCGTGTGTGTGGCGTTCCCTGCCCCGACCACGTTGTGTTTGTGTGTACATTTCGTCTAGTCTCCTGTTTTCAGTGTGTACTAGCGTTTGTTTTCATCTATCAGCCGTTATACTGTTCGTCCTCTGTTCAGTGTGTTACTTTTGCTCTGTTTGGGGAGCCGTGGGTGGTGTCCTCTGCCACACCTGGCTCTTTACTCAGCCCACGTTGGGTGCGTGTGTGCGTTATTTCGTCTAGTCTTCTGTTTTCAGTTTGCACTAGCGTATTTTTATATCAGCAGTTATACTGTTCGATTTCTGTTCAGTTTGTTGATATTGCTCTGGTTGTGGAGGCGAGTGTGGCGTTCTCTGCCCCACCGGACTCTTTCGTTGGCCCACATTGTGTGTTTGTACACTTTCGTTGGCTCTTCTGTTTTCAGTTTATGCTAACATTAGTTTTTCTTTACCAACAGTTAGACTGTTCGCCCTCTGTTCGGTTGTTTGGTTTTCTCTGTGTGCTTGAGTCGTCTGTGGCGTTTTCAGCTCAACCCGACTCTGCTTACATTGCTCCACCAGTTCAGGCGCTCTCGTTATGCACGAGTCGCTGGGCTGCCGTGGGTGCATGGCACCGATGCCCCGCGAGGATGGCCATGACCTCTGCCCTGCGTGCCTGGGTATCGGGCATTTGAGACAGGGCCTGACGGTGGACGCCTGCTCCAATTGTGCGGTACTGCCACTCTCTGTACGCGTGGAGCGCCTGGCGGCCCTGGATCCGGATGAGGGCTCTTCGGAGGTGCCGCCCTGCCTGCCGCCTGCTGCCCAGCCCTCTGGGTCTAAGCGTGCGGCTGTGTCCACTGCTTCCTCGGCTCCGCAGAGGAAGCGTAGGGTGCCTGCAGGATTGTCTGCACGGATGGACCACCTTGCGTCCGAGATGGCCCAAATGAAGGCACTTCTGCAGGATGTTCACCCGGTTTCGGGGGAACATGTGCTGGGCCCTCCTGTGCCGGACCTGGCCCCGTTGTGGGAGGACGATGTGATGTCTGTGGCTGCATCTGACACTCATTTTCGTCTTGACCCTGAGGAGGTTGATTCCAGGGCCTCTGACGCTGGTTCCTTGGCATCCACGGGGTGCCGGGACGGAGAGGAGAGTGGGGCGTCCTCTGCCGTCCGCTCTGCACTCGCCCACTTGGGGCTTGATGTCCCGCAGGGAACTGTGCCGTCTGGTAGCACCTTCTTTAAGCGACAGCGGCCCCTTCCCTCTGTCTCTGTGCCTCCTTCGATGGAGTACGTGAAGGAGTTACATGCATGCTGGACGGATACAAAGGCTATGTCCAGACTGACGTCCGATGGCCGGGCTTTGGCTTCAATGCAGGATGCCCCCCAATTTGGCTTGGGCCACATGCCGCCCGTCGAGCCGGCAGTGGCCTCCTTGATTGTTTCGCCGGAGGAGGCCCTCCGGTCTGATCCGAGGTGCCCTAACCCCCAGTGTCGCCTCACAGATGAGCTGCTGTGTCGGGCCTACAATACTGGGGCGCGAATGGGGCGCATGGGGAACTCTCTTTCCCATTTGTTACTGGGCCTTTCGAACGCATTGGAGGTTTCTACAGTCGATGCCCCGACCCAGGGACTGTTGGATGCATCCCTCCACGCTTTTGCCCTTATGTCGCGGGAACTGGGCCGCCTGCTGTCGACCCTGACTCAGACACGTCGGCAGGTGTGGTTGGCACAGTCACCCCTCACTGAGCCCTGTAGGAGGACTCTCCGGAGTGTTCCGGGGCTTCCGGGGGAGCTCTTTGGTGCGGCTGCGCTTCAGGCGCTGGAGCGCACGGCGCAGGCCACCCGGACGCG